AGGGAAGACCCTGAGAAACTACAACTCCCAGGACCCTGAGAAACTACAACTCCCAGGATGCCATAGCATTGAGAAATGACAATTAAAGTGGGTTTCAAAGTGCATTAATTCCACAGTGTAGATGCACCCAGGGAAGACCCTGGGAAACTACAACTCTCAGGGTGCCATAGCATTGAGGAATGGCAATTAAAGTGGGTTTCAAAGTGTGGATGCACCCAGGGAAGACCCTGAAAAACTACAACTCCCAGGATGCTATAGCACTGTGCCAAGGCAATTAAAGTGGGGTTCAAAGTGCATTAATTCCACAGTGTGGGAAGACCGTGGGAAACTACAACTCTCAGGATGCTATAGCACTGTGCCATGGCAATTAAAGTGGGTTTCAAAGTGCATTAATTCCACAGTGTGGATGCACCCAGGGAAGACCCTGAGAAACTACAACTCCCAAGATCCCATAGCATGGAGGTATCAAGTGGTATCAAAGTGCATTAATCCCACAGTATGGATGCACCCCAGACATCCATGGAATAGCCTACAAAAGCCAGTAGCCAAGGAGGCCCAGGTGCTAGCCCACTATGACTGTCTATGGAGGCCTTGAATGGGCCTAAAATTAATCCATGTGCTCTGCAGACACCCAAATCTTGTGTGTGCATATGTATATATAATATGTATATATGAGTGTATATTATTAAGCATGTATATCCCTCCCTTCCTTGTCTCTTTTCTTTCTCCTTGTAATAACAATGTCTTCCAAGCTGCAGGAATGCCATTCCCACTGCCAAGGCCATTCTCATGCTGGAGGTGAACCTACATGTGTGTAGGTTCAACTGGGACAGTTGGGGGGGATGCCAAAGCAGGATGGCCATGTCCCTTTGGCCTCAATGGACCGGGTGCCTCCATGGAGGGAGTGGTGCATTGAAGGGCCTCCTTCTTGAGCCTGGTAATCCCAAGTTCAGAGGGGAGGCATGGCAGATAATCCAGTTTGCAGAGAGGCGGCGAAAGGGGACGCAAACCTCGTCCGTAACAAATTAATCCAGAGCAAGAGGGAAAGTGCGGCTCACCTCCAGCATGAGAATGGCCTTGGCAGTGGGGATGGCATTAATGCAGCCTGGAGGACGTTGTGATCACAGGGAGAAAGAAAAGAGACAAGGGAGGGAGGGATATACATGCTTAATAATATACACTCATATATACATATACATACATACATACACACACACACACACACATATATACATGTGTGCACACACATGTATGTCTACCTTGATATACATGCCTAATAATATACACTCATATATACACATTATATATACATATACATACATACATACACACACATGTATATATATAAATTTGTTAGGGCATCCAACGGAGAAACAAAACTCAAAAACCCCCCAACGAAACTTAACCAAAATTCCCATGCCCATAACACAACCCACAAGGTACAAACATATCTACTCAAAATGAAAAACAACACAACAACACACTCACAAAACGGCAAAACAACAAAACTCAACCCCCCCCAACGAAACTTAACCAAAATTCCCATGCCCATAACACAACCCACAAGGTACAAACATATCTACTCAAAATGAAAAACAACACAACAACACACTCACAAAACGGCAAAACAACAAAACTCAACCCCCCCCCACGAAACTTAACCAAAATTCCCATGCCCATAACACAACCCACAAGGTACAAACATATCTACTCAAAATGAAAAACAACACAACAACACACTCACAAAATGGCAAAAGAATAAAACTCAAAAAAACCCCAACGAAACTTAACCAAAATTCCCATGCCCATAACACAACCCACAAGGTACAAACATATCTACTCAAAATGAAAAACAACACAACAACACACTCACAAAACGGCAAAACAACAAAACTCACCCCCCCCAACGAAACTTAACCAAAATTCCCATGCCCATAACACAACCCACAAGGTACAAACATATCTACTCAAAATGAAAAACAACACAACAACACACTCACAAAACGTCAAAACAACAAAACTCAAAAAAACCCCAACGAAACTTAACCAAAATTCCCGTTCCCATAACACAACCCACAAGGTACAAACATATCTACTCAAAATGAAAAACAACACAACAACACACTCACAAAACGGCAAAAGAATAAAACTCAAAAAAACCCTAACGAAACTTAACCAAAATTCCCATGCTCATAACACAACCCACAAGGTACAAACATATCTACTCAAAATGAAAAACAACACAACAACACACTCACAAAACGGCAAAAAACAAAACTCAAAAAACCCCAACGAAACTTAACCAAAATTCCCATGCCCATAACACAACCCACAAGGTACAAACATATCTACTCAAAATGAAAAACAACACAACAACACACTCACAAAACGGCAAAACAACTGAGCATGCGCATTGGCGCCCAGCCGCAAGTTCCCTGGCGCGCGCACATGGCCTTCCGGCCAACGTTCCCTCTGCAGAAACCATGCCCACTCCAAGCCCCGCCGCGCCACTTCCCGCACACACACACCCCCTGCCGCACACACACACGCAACCCCACGCTCCATCACTCCCCCCGCCACCGCACACACACATGCAACCCCACTCCCCCGCCGCCACACACACACATGCAACCCCACACTCCATCACTCCCCCGCGCCGCACGCACACACGCAACCCCCCCCCCCCGCCGCCGCACACACACACGCAACCCCACGCTCCATCACTCCCCCTGCTGCCGCACGCACACACGCACCCCACTCCCCCCGCTGCTGCACACACACAAGCAACCCCATGCTCCATCACTCCCCCCGCCGCCGCACACACACACGCAACCCCACGCTCCATCCCTCCCCCCACCGCCGCACACACACACGCAACCCCACGCTCCATCACTCCCCCCCGCCGCCGCACACACACACACAACCCCACGCTCCATCACTCCCCTGCCCCAATCTTACCTCCTTTTACTTCACGCCACCTCCAAACCCCACCCCGCCCCTTCCCGCCCTGTCAAAATCCAGGAAAGACAGGAAGGAAGGAAAGAAGGAAGAAAGAGAAAGGGAGGTAAAGAAAAAGGGGGAAGGAAGGAAAGTTAGAGAAAGAAGGAAGAAGAAAAGGAAAGAAAAGGAAAGATGGAAGGAAAGAAAAGAGAGACAGCAGAAAAGAAAGAAAAAGGGGGAAGGAAGGAAAGAGATAGAGAAAGAAGAGGAGAAGGAAAGATGGGAGGAAGGAAGGAGGGAAAGAAGGAGAGAAAGAGGGAAGATTGGCCACAGCAACACGTGGCGGGTAAAGGTTGTTATTTCTATTATTATTATTATGCTATTATTCCTATGAGACCCTGGGGGAATGGGAGAGGTGTCAGGTCCCAGAGGCAATGCATTGCATTATTGTTATTGTTATGATGGTGGTGAAATAAAAGGAAATAAAAAGTGAAAGAAGGAAGCAAACAGGGAGGGAAGAAAGGCAAAGAAGAAAGGGGGAGGGAATGAAGGAAAGAGAGAAGGATGAAACCAAGTAGTGAAAGAAGGAAAGAAAGAAAGAGGTAGAGAAGGAAGAAAGGAGAGAAAGGGGGAGGAAAAGGGGGAAGGAATAGGTAAGTACCTCTCTTTCATAATAGTCCAGATATCTACCTCAACTTTGATAAGTTTTACTATAGGCCACAGCAACGCGTGGCAGGGCACAGCTAGTATATATATACATGTGTATCTTGATATACATGCCTAATATTATACACTCATATATACATATTATATATGCATATACATACACACACACACACACATATATATACATGCCTAATAATATACATTCATACACACATATTTTATATACATATATATACATACACACATGTATGTGTATCTTGATATACATGCCTAATAATATACACTCAAACACACATATTATATATACATATACATACACACATACATATATACACATACACACACATGTGTGCATACACATGTATGTGTATCTTGATATACATGCCTAATAATATACACTCATGCACACATATTAAATATACATATACATATACATACACACACACGTGGTGTGCATACAAATGTATGTGTATCTTGATATACATGCCTAATAATATACGCTCATACACCCATATTATATATACATATACATACACACATACATATATACACATACACACATGTGTGCATACACATGTATGTGTATCTTGGTATACATGTCTAATAATATACACTCATACACACATATTAAATATACATATACATACACACATACATATATACACACATACATGTGTGTGTGTGCATACAAATGTATGTGTATCTTGATATACATGCCTAATAATATACACACACATATATATATACACACACATGTAGGTATACACATGTGTATCTTGATATACATGCCTAATAATATACACTCACACACAAATATTATATATATATATATATATATATATATATATACATACACACACACACACACACACACATATATATATATATATATATATATACACAGACGTGTATGCATACACGTGTGTGTATCTTGATATACATGCCTAATATACAGTCACACACACAACTGTACACACACAGTTGTACACATGCACACATAATAATAATAATAATAATAATAATAATAATAATAATAATACTTTATTTATACCCCACTACCATCTCCCCAAGGGACTCGGTGCGGCTTATACATGTGTGTATCTTGATATACATGCTAAATATTGTATTTTGGAAATGGGACTCAAGTTTAAACACAAAACTTTATTTCTGTTTTGTATGCACACAGCTTAGAGTTTGTTTTGTATGCAGTATTTTGCACATCAATCAAAAAGGTGCAACTCCACTGTGGGACGGACACAGTGCGGCACCACTCCTGTCGCCATGGCTCTCTGCAATAGGGTCAGGGGAACTGTAGTTTTCCGAGGCTGAGAGCGTGTGACTCTCCCAACGGAGAGAGCATTCTTTCTCATTCCCAAATCTATTTTCTGTTCCAGCTGCTGCCAGACTGTGCCTCTTGGCCTCTGTGGCCCTTTTGGTCTCCCTGGAAAACAACGACGTTGATGGCGCACCACGGAGGACCTGTTTCCTCCCCAAAACCCCGGACAACCGGGGCGCATTCCGGACAATACGGAACAAATACGTAAGTGGGACGGGGTTGGCTTGCACGGAGTTAATCTGATCCATAAATGCATTTCCTCATTTTTTTCTAACATATACTCTTTTTTTTCTAATTCCAGGAGGATTTGAGGTTTAATGGAGTGGAGCCCTGGCAAAATTGCTCCGAAAAGTATCTCCAGCTGCCCAAAATGGACAATCTGACAGTGAGTAATTGACGCCTTTTTGGAAAGCTTCACAACAGAGAAAGTGCAGGATAAAGATTATTATTGTTGTTATTGTTTTTTTGTTATCATTATTAACTATAGTTAATCTATATAAATAAAAATGTAATGTTCGTTTGTGGGATTAACAGAACTCCAAAACCACTGGATGAATTGACACCAAATTTGGACACAGGACACCTAACAACCCAATGTTCCTTCAATACTCTTGGGTGTAGTTGATCTGGCCCTGGGTATTCTTTTAGGTATTCTTGGACGACTTGTTTCCCAATTTGAGGTTGGATGTCCTCTAATCCCTCACCCACTCCATTTTGCTGAGGTTGAAGATGACTTTCTTTTTGTGAGAAGACCAAGGCAAAGAAGGCATTTAGTTCTGCCTTTTCCCTACTCCCTGTCAGCATTGCCCCATCTTCTCCTCGAAGAGGCCCTATCGCCTCCTTGTTTTTCCTTTTTCTACTGACATAAGAAAAGAAGCCCTTTTTATTGTTTTTAATGTCCCTGGCAAGCCTGAGCTCGTTTTGTGCTTTAGCCTCGCGGACCTTTTCCCTACAGGTGTTGGCTATTTGTTTGAATTCTTCTTTGGTGATTTCTCCCTTTTTCCACTTCTTGTGCATGTCTCTTTTGTGTTTTAGCACAGTTAGACGTTCTTTGGAATCCATTCTAGCTTCTTTGCACTTGTCCTATTTTTTCTCTTTCTATTTTTTCTCCCATGACCAACAGAAAACACTAGAAGGGTTTGCTGGTCCGTGTCCTTTGGTTTGGGAGTTGTAATTCACCTACATCCAGAGATCACTGTGGACTCAAACAAGGATGGATCTGGACCAAACTCTACAAGAATACTCAATATGCCCAAATGTAAACACTGGTGGAGTTTGGGGGAAATTGAATCTTGACATTTGGGAGTTGTAGTTGCTGGGATTTGTAGTTCACCTACAATCAAAGAACATTCTGAACCACACCAACAATGGAATTGAACCAAACTTGGCACACAGTTCTCCCATGACCAACTTTTAACTTCCACGGTGCCATGCTATGCAATCCTGGGATTTGCAGTTTGTCAAAACACCAACACCCTTTGCCTTTGTGAAACTCCCATTACCAGGATTCCATGCATGGAGTCATGCGTCAAACTGCATTAAATCCAGCAGTGTAGATGCAACCGAGCAAGGTGTTATTCTGGGCTTTGGAGTCCAAAGATATTGCAATGCTGAAAGCTATGAAGCTATGAATGTCTTGAACTTTCTCTCCTCTTCCTCCTCCTTCTTGCAGAAATGGGAGAAGATGGAAGCCATGGGGCTCCAGCTGAACCTCGTCATCCCCGTCCTGCAAAACCAGAGTGAGACCACTTTCGCCAAGGATACCTCCAAGGTGCTGGAGTTCCTGCTGCCTTACAGAGACGAACTCAAAGTCTGTGTGAGTAAAGAAACACATTAAACTGTGTATCACACTATTTATTCCTAGGTTATGAATGCAATTCCCTAGTTGGGTATATCATAAACACGTGCAAAAAGTTTATTAAACTGCCAAAACTTTGTTTCTGTGGGAGGGACGCCGTCCAGCTATCGTACATTTTGCCATAGTGTTTCAACGACATATCTCATCTAGTCTCAACCAATTCAACATAGTTTGTGACAACCTTCTTGCAAAGTAAGGCCTTGCAAAACTACACATCCCAGGATGCCATAGCACTGAACCTTGGCAGTTATGTGGTCGAGCAACTTAGAGTGGCTGTGGAGAGATCCAACCCATTGTGGGTTGCCTGGTGAGAAAAGAAGCTGGTATTCCAGAATAAATCTCATCAAGTTGAAGAGAAAGCCACCGAGGTTTTTATTTCATTCCAGCTGGAAAGGATGACGATAGCAGTAGCCTGCCAAGAAATCGACATAACTCGCGAGGGAAAATATTATAGCTTTTATAGGAAATACAGAGCTGTCAAATTCAAATTTCCCTCTCCCGCCCCCTTGCCGGCGTTTCGCTGATTGGTTGGCATCATCGGTTAGCTGGGAAGTGCAGCTAGCAAGGCTGCACTCTGTCCAGTCAGAGGGCTAGTGCCGCTTCGGTCTCTGAGCCAATGGGAGGGGAGGAGGCAGGCAAACGGGAAACAATGAAAAGAATAGAAAAATAACTAATAAACTCTAAAATTACAACAGCAAAACAACAGAGAGGAAACAAACAAGGACATATAATCACCTCTCAACAAAAGATTGCCCCAGGCACTGCCAGGCCATCAAATGTGAATCAAGGTGGTCAGTTGAAACATTCACACCTAGCTCCGACAGACAAGAGTCCTTTGTCTCACCCTAGTCATTCCACAGATATATAAACCCATTTTCCTAGTTCCAACAGACCTCACTACCTCTGAGGATGCTTGCCATAGATGCAGGCGAAACGTCAGAAGAGAATGCCTCTCGAACATGGCCATATAGCCTGAAAAAACCTGCAACAACCCAAAATTACTAATGTTTGCCCAATCAGTCAGCAATAGCTTAAGCCCTCGAGCTGGACCAAAGTTATTGTTTTAATCTTTAGAAATAACATCTTGGTCAAACTACAAATCCCAGGTTTCCATGGCAATAAAAGTGGGGATGATAGCACTGCAACGGGGCTTTCCAAGAGTATTACCACATCCTTGCAAAATCTACCTGTCCATAGTTTAAAATCCATTTTCTTCTCTCTCGTCCAGATGCAACACAGACCTTCCCAACATCAAGAGTCCGGCTATTTGCAGGGATTCAAGGAAGGGCTGCAGCAATTTAATAGCAGCAACACCGAGGTAAGGAAGGCCCAGAAAGGAAACTACAACTCCCACGGTTCCATAGCACTCTAAGGGGGAGTCTAACTGCAGTAGAGAGACGCATAATCAAAGTTTCTCCTTCTCTCCTTCTCCATTCTAGCAATCTCCGAAATGCCTAGAGGTCGCAGTAGGGATGAATATCCTCAGCGTGCTTCAAGAGATCAAAAACATCAGCCTGCATTATCATCATCATCATCATCATCATTATCATCATCACCGCCATCATTCTAACAACTGAGGCCTATTTGCGGCATCCAAAGACCCCAAGACCCATCCTGCTCTTTGCTGCACCAACAAGAATAGGATTGTCTGTTGAGAAATTGTTTTGCGGGGTCAACATATTCCCAAAACCCTCTTCCATCAGATTTCCCCAATCCAGGAGCCTTCTTACACCACTGATAGGACTACAACTCCCAACATCCCCACCCAGCTCTTCAAAACTGTTATATTATTTCTACCAAGGTGCATTGCATGCACTGAACACTAGATGGCAATAGAGAGCAATGGGAAAAAGAAGTACCGGTAGTGTATTATCCAAAAGGATGCATTGCATTCTTTGGACACTAGATGGCAATAGAGAACAATAGAGGAAAAAATAGGCAGTGAATGGTCCAAAATGATGCATTGCATGCACTGAACACTAGATGGCAATAGAGAGCAATAGGAACAAAAAGAGGCAGTGAATGGTCCAAAATGATGCATTGCATGCATTGAACACTAGATGGCAATAAAGAGCAATAGGAACAAAAAGAAGCAGTGAATGGACCAAAAGGATGCATTGCATGTATTGAACACTAGATGGCAATAGAGAACAAAAAGAGGCAGTGAATGGTCCAAAATGATGTATTGCATGCATTGAACACTAGATGGCAATAGAGAGCAATAGGAACAAAAATAGGCAGTGAATGGTCCGAAAGGATGTATTGCATGCATTGAACACTAGATGGCAATAGAGAGCAATAGGAACAAAAAGAGGCAGTGAATGGTCCAAAACGATGCATTGCATGCATTGGACACTAGATGGCAATAGAGAGCAATAGGAACAAAAAGAGGCAGTGAATGGTCAGAAATGATGCATTGCATGCATTGAACACTAGATGGCAATAGAGAGCAATAGGAACAAAAAGAAGCAGTGAATGGTCCAAAATGATGAATTACATGCCATGGACACTAGATGGTGATAGAGACCAATCGGGAAAATGAGGTAGTGCATGGTCCAAAAATGCAAACCAGGGATCGAAACTGCGATAAATAGCTACAATTGAGATATCTTGACATTGCGATCTACCCAAAGTCAAGAGAGGCATGTCCTTTCTCTATTTATCTTCCTTCTGTTGCAAAGAGGCTCTAAATCTGGAGTTTCCAAACCATCCTTTATTATGATACCTACTCTTGGGAGTTGTAGTTCAACACATCTAGAAGGCCCCTGGATTTTGGGAGATCAAAACGGTCCAAAAAGCTGAGCTTTGTACACCGAATTAGTCCCAAAGACTACTTGTTTTTGTGTGTGTTTCCAGTATTTTCAATATTATTTATGTTCATTCCACGCACCCTCAAAATGTCCCCCCGAAATCCTTCCATTTTCCTATCTCCCACTTTCCTTCCAAATGCAACACTCCTCCGGCAGGAGTTGCATTTTCCTTAGGCGTATTTATTTATTGTGATGGAATGCTATTGCCAAAGACAGAGAGCCGTTTTATTTATGTAATTTATTTTAATTTCCTCGAGCCTGGAATTAACAAGTTCAAGAGGGAGGGAGGGGAGGCGTCATTATTTAAAGTGGATCGTATTCATAAAAGTGTTATTTATACACGCTTCAGCGCCTGTTTGCCCGGAGTGGCTATTATTATTATTATTTAAAAAGAAATAAAGAGACAATTTGCAAACAGTGGAAACTTAATCACTTGGACCAGGAATGACCATGCAAGGCAGCCCCCTGCTGGAAAGACCTGGTATTGCACCATCATGATTGTTGTTATTGTCCGTGTGCCTTCAAACCAATGTTGATTCTGACCAGTGTTAGCTACTTGAAAGAATGATACTCTTGTTCTGTATTACTATTTTTTTATGAAATGTTTTTTTGAAAATATATTATCTATTTTTATATAATGTCATGTTTTCTTAATGTTCCTATTAATAAATTATTGAGCAAAAACTCTTGCAGCATATGTCATATATTTCTTTCGGGACGATGCTGGTGATGATTATAATAATTATTGTCTCGTAGCTTGGGTTATTTGAAAAAAGTCATTTTTAATGGTACCAAATGCATAAGGTTGTGAGCAGGCATGTAGCCGGGGGGGGGGGGCTTCAGCCCCCCCCCCCCCCCCGAAATTCTCATGGTGGTTTGCGAAAAGGCCTTACTGGTGCATTATTTAAACTGTTATGTTTATTCATATCATGATCTGATCACCATACTCAATATATCCCATATGCATGGGGGTATTGGGGTAATGATACAAAAGGTTTGCTAGGCTAGACCCTCTTTCACTCAGACTCAGCCCCCCCAAAACTCAGCCCCCCCCGAACCCCCCCTAAAAAAAATTCAGCCCCCCCCCCCCGAAACAAAATCCTGGCTACAGGCCTGGTTGTGAGTGAACTACAACTCCCATCATGCAAGATCAACCCCCAGAAACTCCATCAGTACTTAACGTTGTTTATGTTGGGCAAGTTTGCTGTAGATGCATCCTCAGTGAGGTTCAGTGTGCTCTCTGGCTGTAGGGTAAACAGGGGCGTCTCAACCCATTAAGCAAAGTAAGCATTTGCAGTATAGTTGATTTTGCCCAGGGGCCCTCTTGAGGCGCTCTTGACATGAGAGTTGTAGTTACTGGGATGTATAGTTCACCTACAATCAAAGAGCATTCTGAACTCCACCAATGATGGAATTGAACCAAATATGGCACACAGAACTCCCACGACGAACGAAAAATATATATCAGTGATTGGTTGGGGGGGGGGGGCGCCAAAATACTGTTTTCTTACCGTTGAAAATTACCTAGGGCCGCCTCTGAGGGTAAACTACAACTCCCACTATGGTGAGCCAGTCCCCTCAAACCCCTCCAGCAAGTTGAGTTAGTCATGGGGATTCTACATGCCAAGTTTGGTCCAGGTCCATCATCAGTGGAGTGAAGTCAATAGGAACTTTAGGAGGGTTTTCCCCAGGAGGAGGGACCCTGAGACCCCACCAAAGAGGGATCGCTACTTTGGCGAGCTAGGGGAAGCCTGATTTCAGCCATTTTTGTTTCCTTAAAAGATTATTCCCCGGGCGTAGAAGCCCGAAATGCAAAAAGCGAGATAGCAGATAGTGTTAGAATTAAGTTAGGAAAAATATGCCACCAAAATCAAGGCAATCCGCCATCTCGCAGATACGGGGGGCCCTGGGGGTTTCCGTATCCGCGGTTTGGAGGAGCACAGATTCGGCCTCCCCAGAACACCAGGGAGGCATTCCAGGCAGGTCTGCAGTCTCCCGCAGCCTGGAAAAGGTTAGTTTCATGCATTGGGATAGTTTCAGGCAAGAAGAGACACAAAGTATCAAGCTAGAGGGTTAAAAGTTGCAATTTCATTTATCTTTATTGGGGGATTAGTTACATAGTTGGGGCTAGCAAGGGAGTGAAAGGAGAGAACACACGGCAGTGTAGAGTCCCTGGTTGAGCTTGTTGTTGGGGCACATTTCATAAATTTGGCCCAATCTTTGCATCAAGGAACTGTGGAACTCCCTGCTGCTGGTCACACCAGCTTGAAGGCAGGGGCCTGGGATGCCCTCGATGACAGGAGGTCATGGTTTCTCTGGTTGTGGGTGAACTACAACTCCTAGAAAGGAAGTTTGATTCCCTCCAAACCCCTCCAGAAATCAAATTTCAGTATATCAGGGCTGTGTGCCAAGTTTGGTCCAGATCGATCAGTGCTTGGGTTCACAGTGCTACAATGTTATCAACAATGATTTGAATAATTATTAATCGTATCCAAAAGCATCAATAACGGTATCAATAACAATATCAATATAATGGTATCATTAATGGTCAGATTAATGCTATCAGTAATGGTTTCAATAACTATCAATAATGGTAGCTATAATGGTATGGTTAATAGTATTTATTTTATTTATTTATTTATTTAATACACTTGTATACCGCTAATATCTCAGCCTAAGTCGGCGACTCATTGCGGTTTACAACAATTAAAAACAATATACAATTTAAAACAACAACACATAGACAATACAAATTATTGGGCCACCAATAATAATACCATGTATCTCTTCACTAAAATCACAGTCCAGAATTCGTCATCCATAATTAACCAGTCCTTAGTCCATAAAATTCGGTGATAACAAACTAACCGAATGCTTGTTTACACAACCATGTTTTTAATCTCTTCCGAAACACCATCAGCGAAGAGGCTGATCGTATCTTTATAGGGAGGGTGTTCCAAAGCCGAGGGGCCACCACAGAAAAGGCCCCGTAAGATTAGTGGTATCAATAACCAATCAATAATAGCTAATATTCACCCTCTTTCATTGTAATTTTTCTAATACTTTAATAAAAACTATTTACAAAAAAATAATAATGGTATCTATCAATAATGATATGAATCAACATGTATCTATAATGGCATTGATAATGTTATCAATAATGGTTTCAATAACTGCATAAATAATGGTAGCTATACATAATATATATAATTGTATCTAAAATGGTTTGAATAATGGTTTCAATAACAGTATGATCAATGATATCATTAATGGTAGGATTAATGGTATCAATAACCAAATCAATAATGGTATCTACTAATAATGGTATCAATGCATATCTATAATGGTATTGCTAATGTTATCTATAATGGTTTCAATAATGGTATCAATACATATATATAATCATATCTATAATGGTTTGAATAATAGTTTCAATAACAGTATGATCAATGATATCATTAATGGTAGGATTAATTGTATCAATAATGGTTTCAATAACTGGATCAATAATGGTAGCTATAATAGTATGATTAATAGTAAGATTAATGGTATCAATAACCAAATCAATAATGGTATCTACCTATAATGGTATCAATGCATATATATAACTGTATTGCTAATGTTATCTATAATGGTTTCAATAATGGTATTAGTGGTATCAATAATGGTATCAATACATATATATAATCGTATCTATATTCTATATTCTAACACTATAATGGTTTGAATAATAGTTTCAGTAACAGTATGATCAATGATATCAGTAA